TTTGTTTCTTGGCTGTTTCTTCATTCATGCTTGTTCACTTTCAGTACTTGTACCTGACCATCTTCAGAGGAATCTGTTTTTATTTTTGTTAAGTCACCAAACAATGAGCTGTGACTCATTCACTCATTTTTTAATGAATCATTCACTCATTAAAAAATGTTGGCGTCACCTAGTAAGAATACGTAGTTGATTGTTGTTCATTTGCTGTATCTTTTATTCCTTGGCTTTTAAATCAGAATGAGTTTGTATTACTTTTATTTATCTTATTTCTCACTCAAATCTTCTAATTTTATGATTCTTTTTCTTAACTCTTGTCATATGTTTTTATTTCTTTTAATTGTCTTAATTGTACAGCACCTTGGTCAACGGTTGTTGTTGTAAATGTGCTATACAAAGAAATTTGACTTTGACTTTGACTATATGCTATCTTTTTTTTTTAAAATACAGTTGTGACCTTTGAGATGAGGTTCAGTAACATTTGAGTCCGCTGATCTAATTTATGGTTTTGATTAGAAAGAAGTAAATACAATGTTTTAGCTCTTTCTTGTTTTCTAAATTCTGTCTACTGCCTTTTATCCACAGAGTCCAACATTGGTCATTTTGGGACAAATACTGGCGTCCAAAGTGATGGAAGAGTGTTTGCTTTTGTTGTTCTTGTGTTTTTTCTTTGATGAGCGTAACCAATGTGTATAATAATAATGAAAGTACTTTGTTCTGTCTCTTTTTCCATGTCAGCTGCTTTAATCATTTAAAATCCCTTTTATCTACTTGCATTTTTTTTGTCCATTCTGGGTTTCCTTTTTTAATCATTTATAGTTATTAATATTGAATCGTTGCTTCCTTTTACACAATCACACTGGCATAATGTTGACAGGAAGTAGGTTTGAATTGGTTTCACAGGCATCACTTTTACAAAGACTTTTTTAATTTAACTCAAAAATCTGTTCTGTATTTTATCAGGTGCTTTTCACATCAGTTAGGGAGGACGCCTCAGTGTTTGAAGTCATATCAACCATTAACTTGACCCAAACTAGTTGAGACTGGGATATTTGAAGTTATCATAATAGCTTTCTTAACAAAACAGGCAGGTTGTGCTCCTTACTTCCAGAATGGAGATAGTATATTGTTTGTTATGTCAGGTTAGTCTGCTTTGAAAATCAACAAAGAAATAGTTTGTTAGTGTGTTGAATCCCGAGAATTCCAGACTTTATATTTAAGTGTGTTACACGTAAATAAGGCTTGCATATTTGTGAGCAGCACAACAGGAACAGTTAGCCAGGCTAAAAACATGGGCGTAACAGCCACGTGAGAAAACGTTTACAAGATGATTTATCATTCTGTCATTGTTCCTGACAGCTGTGTTGGGGATCAGAGGAACACGTGTGGAGTTTCACTTTAGGCCTTTCAGAGTACCAGGAAGTACTTTAACACCAAACTGTGATTTTTTTTCTGGTAGTTGTAAGGGAAGTAAGTCAACTAAGCCAAATAAAACTTCACTAAAAACTGAAAAATTAATGCTAATAGCTCAAACAAATAAAACTGTGTCATCCAACTGGAAATGAACTTTGACGTCCACATGAGCTAGTTTGTCAATCTTTTCACTACGTGGCCTAAATTCCCAAAGCCTCATTCTTCCTTCTCATCAAGGATTTGGTAAGCATGTCTGTCATGTTTTGTCTGGTGAGCGTAGGAGGAGCCTAACCAGACAGGCAGGAATAAAGAACCTGTCTCCTACACAGTGCCAGGAAGAGTCTGTTGCTGAAGGAGCTGCTCAGGGCCTCCGCAGTATCATGCAGGGGGTTTGCAGTGTTGTCCATAATAAACCTTTGCTTGGCTAACATCCTCCTCTTTGGAGTCTAGGGGACTGGCCAAGACAGAGCTGGCCCTCTTTACCAGTCTTTATACCCACAGCACTGTTCAGTATATTTATAGATAGCACGTGAAGAGCTGAATAACAAAAAATACCAGGAAGTCTTACACTAGCAGTTTCACCTGTCATCTCTTTTGGGGTAACTGTTTTAGAAAATTACTGGAAACCAAAATTGTCATTGTAAAAATGACTTCCTAGTTCAAAGTGCAATGCTGTGACAGTGTACCAGGTTTACACACGTGCATATTGGCAACACTCGTGCAGAGAACAAGCAAGAACAATAGAATTAATACTTATTGTACTGGAAGTGTGAAACACGTGAGTTTGGTGTGGCATTCAGCTGAAAGGTTAAACAGGACGCGTCCAGCGGGAACCTGAATGAGTCATGACACAGTATGAGTGTGACCCATTGAAACAAAACAGAGCAGAGTAGGAACAGTGATATTTCTAACAGAAGCAGGAGCGGGTAGCACCTCATTTCTTCTTCTACATAAGCTAGGAATAATTGAAGCTTTAACAGGTGCTGGTATCAGGGAGCCAGTCTGTGTGCTGGCTGCTGATGGTGTTTATTGTCTTTATTTGGGTGTGTTTATACCGATATGCCACTACCTAATGCAATTACTGTAAATGACCTGAAAAGCATTGCTGCATACTTTTTAGCTGGCTTTGTGTCACATAGGATGGATTAGAAAAATCCAGCTCTGACCTGGGAATGATTCATCCCAACAACCATGGGTGTGTTCATCAAGGCCTCTGTGACACAGAGCTTCCTCGAATGAATTACTCTGTTTACAGATTTAAAATGACTACAAACTTAACAATGAAAGATTTTACGATTTGTGGCATCTCGCAGCAACATTACTTAACACCCTGGATCACGTCTACAGCAACATACACGGTGCATACAGGGCTGCACCACAGCCCCACTTTGGACAGTCTGACTACATCTCTCTGTTCATGTACCCGGCTTACAGACAGAAACTGAAACAATCGAACCCTGTCATCATCACACCTGTTAAACTGTGGACCCCAGAGTCTGACAGCATCCTACAGCACTGTTTTGCCCAAACAGACTGGGATGTGTTTCAAACTGCAGCCACCAAGGAGATCTGCTCTGTCAATATACAGGACTATGCTGAATATGTGACCGGGTACATCAGCACCATCAGCTCTGCAGGCAGTCTGCTAGATGACCTCAATGTATTGAGGCAGCAGGACCAGACAGGATGGGTCCTTAAAGCATGTGCTAATGAGTTGGCTGATGTTCTCACTCCCGTCTTCAACCTCTCCCTCAGCCAGAGTCCCCACATGCTTCAAGACCACAACAATCATCCCTCTTCCCAAGATAATATAAGATAACATAATAATTTTTGCACATAAGGTCATCTTACATATTAAACCAGCATATTAAGCTCATAGCTCTTTTGCACATAAATCTATTTAACACTTCAATTTTTGTCTCCATTTATTTATTTATTCTATTTGTATTTCCATTGTTCTAGTTCTATTTGTACATTTTAACCGGCATCTGTGTAGGAAGGTAGATTATTAGATTATTATAGCAATTAAAATGTAGAGTAAATACCAGGAAAAGCTAACAGGCAGAACAAGAATAACTGGTATAACTCGTTGGGAAACTCCACTGTGGGAGGAACTTTGTACCATGTTTTATTTTATAGAAAGACAAGCGTGTTTTTGTGGATATTCATTCTTCACATCTTTCAAGGACCATCTGCCTGCATGACCTAAACAAGTAAGTGATTATTTATACCAAGCAGATAGCATAGAGAATAAAAATACATGAAACAAGACATCAGCTGCCTTTTCTTCAAGATAGACTGACTTTTGATCCAAATATTGACGGCAATATTTTTAATTAGAGGCACAGAAATAGTAAAAGTGGATATCTCAGAGATGATGTGTAAAATGTAGGTGTGTGTATTCTGGATGTAATCTCAGGTTTCAATCTTTAAAATAGAGCAACAACTACTACTACTTTTACATTTTTAACACGTTGACTGGAGTTTGAGTGTCAGAGAGAACTCAGTAAGGGGAGAGCAGTGGCTAAATAAAATGCATTAATAAAGAGCTGAGGGCTGATTTATTGGGGAAAAATTAAAGTAAGTAAGTAAAATAGTTAATATAGTGATGAAATTGTAAGAAAAGGTTCAGAAACAATTTCTCTTTATATTGCTTTCATTTGAATTTTACCCATTGTCTAAAAATTTCTTTCTTTTAATTTAGTAAATCTAATAATAATGAGCATTTCTTTGATTTTAAATTTGACTACAAAGAAAATTATTGTAGTCAAGAATTCAGTCAATGAAAAGTCTGAGATTTTCTCCTTCTATTGCCTCTTTCACAGCCCATTTTTTGATCTCTTTACTGGTAAATCCATTAGATTCATAAAAATGTAACAATATGTTGCCACTAGGACCTTCAGACTCTGTTTGTGAACCCTTGTATATTTGCAGTCTGCAGATTGAACTTAAACATAGTTGTTGTCTTCGAAGCATCTGAAATAAATCTGTCCACTTTTCTCTGCGCTACAGCATGATGAGCTTTCATGTGTTATACCCTTTTCTGTGAAATATAAGTGAAAAGGGCACACTGGACGCTTTACTTTGATCTTATGTTTAAAAATATCCTTTAGTCTTCTTGGTTTGCCATTTAGATTTTTTTAAACTTAGATTTATAAACCTGCATCTTTACAATCTGACCTAAAGAGTTTAAATCCCATAGTGTACAGAAGAATTTCAACATGTGTGGGTAACAAAATGTTATTTCTCTGTCAGAAACATGGCCTCAACATTGTCTGAAGAGCAATTTCAGTGCAGCATCTGTTTGTACAGCTTCAAAAACCCTGTCTCTATCCCATGTGGGCACAATTTCTGCCTGGAGTGCATCAAACGTTATTGGGATGTGGCGCAAAAGTCGGATTGTCCACTGTGCAAAGAATCCTTTGGAAGTCGCCCCGAACTCAGGGTGAATTGGACCTTAAAAGAAATCACTGAAAGATTTCCAAGGTTGGTTGACTGTAACTATACTATAGTGCTTTATTTCAACGTTTTAGCACATTTGGTTGAAATTAATCAGATGTATATCATCATCTTAAAGCTTGTTAAAGGAAATGCCAGGATTCAAAGCAAAGAGACCCATCATTTCACTACCGCCAAATAGGTCTGGAGGAGAGAAGGAGATCAAGATCAAGGTGGGAGAAAGAGTGGTTAAATGTAACGATGCTCATGGATTATCTTGTAAGGAACTCCAGATAATCCAAGATGTAAAATACATGTTTTCAACTTCAGCCTCTGCAGACTCGGATAAAGAAGACCCAAGAACAGTATCAACACATGATCCAGACCCGAATCAGAAAGACCGAGGAGATCAAACAGTCAATGGAGCTGAGCAAAGTGAGCATTGCTTTTTGATCATTTACAGACATGAACATTTCTCGGCCTGTTTGCTCTCTAAGAAACAAAACTTCAACCAATTTGTTTGTAGAAGCTCACATCAGAAGAAAAACAGCAGTGTTGTTCTGCTTCATGTAGACTGTATTTAAAAGACAGAGGAGACTCCCCCTGCTGGTCATTTTAAAAAATGCATTAGCCTCACTTTTCAAGCCTGGAATCCACTTTTGGCTTTTATTTGCAGTTTATCCTGCTATAATATCCATGTAGAGTGTAAGTAACCTTGTGCACAAAAGACTCTGATTACAGGGCAGAGTAACTATAGAAACTCAAAAGCTAAAATCCTTGCATATCTTCTAAAGTCAGGATTACTTCAGTCAAAGTATTTTTCCATCTTTAGTAATTCATATATGGCAGCGTGGCTCTGTTTTAAGAGCTCTTGTGATCTTTTATTAGTTGTTTTTATTGATATAATAAACCTTCATTATGTGGACATAAAGAGACATGGAAAAGCAGGGCTGGAGGTGGGTTGGGACAATAGATCAACTGTTATCAGAGGACTGCAGGCTGGTCTCACTGAGATCATCTTCTTTGTCTTCTTTTTGGGGGAAATGTGTTAAATTATGGGCATATTAATAAGAATCATCGTATATAAGCAGTTTTTCCCTAAGTTTAATTTGTTTTGCATTTCACTGAAGAAGGGGTAGCAAAGTACAAAGGTGGTGCATTTTAACATATTTCACATATTAATTCAACTCTTTTCATCTCTGCAGAGAAATAAAGAAAGAGAGATACAGGCCAGCGTTCAGAATGCCACAATGATGGTAATTGCCATTGAGAGAAACCAGGCTTTGCTCATCGAGGAGATCGAACGGAAGCAGGAGGTGGCTGAGAAGAGAGCAGAGGAGCTTCTCAAGGAGATCAGCCAGGAGATCAATGAGCTGCAGAAGAGATGCAGTGAGCTGCACCTCCTGGAGCACACTGAGAACCCAGTTCAGCTCCAGCAGGTCAGAATCAGTATTTATGTTTAATATTTCTGCGCAGCCAAGCAAGTTTAAAGCATCTAAAGTGATTGTAATATGATATGAATACAAACCGGCCTGTCTGCTTGTTAGTGAAATCATTTGATGGTGCTCATTTCTGTCACTGATGCTGTTTTAGAACTTTTTACATCTGGACGCTCCGATGTCCGTCAAGCACTGGGCTGACGTCAGAGTCCAATCGGAGAGCTACGCACGGACTGTGAGGAGAAATTTCTCCAAACTGGTCGACATCTGCCAAGAACTGGAGAGGAAGCTGTGTGCAGAGGGTCTGTAATCCTTATGATGACATGACATTATAGTCTCTGATTTTAGAACACAAGACTTTCTTTGCATCACCGGTTCCTTTGGTTTTATTATAATCCTGCCACTTTTTGCATTGCATATATATTTATATCATATTTTACACTATAAGTCTGCACATAACTAACTTTAGTGATACACTTAGGGTGCAAAAATAAATCTTGTAACATTCGCTAAAATATTAGTGAATATTTTAATTGTTCTACGTTAATGTTTAATGACACTAAAATGACACAGTTTCTTTTCTGATCTTTTGCAGAGGTAAACAAGATGAATAAATATGCAGGTATGTGTATGGATATGATATTTATATTGTGATTACGTTATATGGATTACACAAGACTGAAAATTTGTCACCATCATATCTAATAAAGACTGTTACTGATGTCAGTAGAAAGAAAGTGGCTCTTCACACTGATTCAAATAATCTTTATACATTTAAATGACTCAGAATACAGATACTCTGTTGCCAAAAAAGGTGACTTCAGTAATAATATGCTTCAAAACAACAGGGTTATTTTTTCATATTATTTCTTTAATCCTGAAAAATTTGAATAAATCTGAAATAGCAAATCTTTTTATGTGTTTTTTTCTGTTTCTGTCTCCAGTGGATGTAACTCTGGATCCTGCTACTGCTGCTGGCTGGGTGGTCCTGTCCCCGGATAATAAAAAGGTGAGCTGTAATTATCAGCTGCATGATTCCTGACTGTAACACCTTAACAAGAGCTCAGAGTTAAACAAAGTCTTCTCCTGTTGTAAAAAATGATCCAACAAAGTGTTGATACATGTGCAGCTGTTTGTATAATTAAGTGTAAAGTCATTTGCTTAGTTAGTTATACACACCAGTTCAGTTTAGCCCTGTAATATTATTGGGAAAACACTTATTAAAACAGCTATTATTGAGAAATTGCATTTCTTGTCTGTGAAATTAGAGTCTGTGAATTACAGACAACAGCTAATGGACGACAAATATTATGCAGGAACTATAATGACGGAAACTAGTGGATCAGAAGTCAGGAAGATGCAAATTAACGACAATTACGGCATCAGTAGTTGTTGTATGAATGTGATCGTGGCAATCCACAGGTGAGCATGAGCTACCAGCAGTGGAGGACCCCGCTACCTGACGACCCCCGCAGGTTCGACTCCTGCGTCGCCGTGCTGGGAAAACAAAGCTTCACATCTGGGAAACGTTACTGGGTGGTTCAGGTAGGATAAAAGGATAAAATAAATAACTGCTAAACAGCTTATAGTCGTGATCAGTGTGAATATTATCCAAAGTGGAACACAACAGCTTTATTTAGAGTAAGATTTGGATTGAAATACACCAAAGAAAATTACACATGAACACAACGACACAACCTGTGACTGGGACTGTATAATGTATATGATCTAAACAAGCAGGAAAATAAAACTCTTCACGCCCCCTGGTGGCTACATGATGTTCACTTCTGATTTTATATCTGCTGTGTTTACTCTCAGTAAAAATTTATTATCATTTAAAAAGCAACCTAAAGAAATGAAGCTCTGCTCTGCAGTTTAGCATCATTTTGTCCTTCTTTGTGTTTCAGGTTGGGGATAAAACAGACTGGGATCTTGGGGTGGCCCGGGAGTCCATCAACAGGAAGGGCGCCATCACAGTTCGCCCTGATAACGGTTACTGGGCGATATGCCGACGTAACGGTGGAAGCCTGTGCGCCTGCGCTGGGCCCGCCGTCACTCTTTACCTTAAAGAAATTCCTCAGAAAGTCGGTATATTCCTGGACTATGAAGAAAGCTCGGTGTCCTTCTACAACACAGAGGCAAAGACTCACATTTACACTTACAGCGGGCTCACTTTCGCTGAGCCGCTGTATCCGTACTTTAACCCCTGCATACATGACAACGGGAAGAACACGGCCCAGCTGGTCATCTGCCCAATCGAGGCTGGGATCACTGTAGACACTTCAGCACGTTGAGCGAGAGACTCGGAGGATCCTTTTTAAAACCTTGAGAGCATCCACATTCATTGTCTGGATAAGTTGTAATCTGTAAATGCAAACAAAAGACCAAGAACAGGAGAAAATATTCTTCTCCCAAGAGTAAAGCGAACACTCTGAATATTGTCCTGGTACAGACTGCAAGCCCAAGCTTAGCTCCTGCAAAGTGTTTGGATATATTTATTTATTTATTCCAGTCAAAAGCTATAAGTTAACCACAAGGTTTGCTAATGTCTCTTAATCTTCCTGATGATATCTATAAAGAGGTTTTTAAAAAGAGCTAAAGATCCAAGCGAGGGTTCATCTGAACCATCCACTTATGTCTGCTAAGGGAGGACAAATGTATGTAAATGAGGATAAAACTTCCACTGATAAGTCCACAGTTATCTGACAACGACACATTAGTGATGGTTTAGGAACTATAAGATGCACCTATACACGATCACTACGGTGGATAGCACTGCATGAATCCTGCCTACATTTTTACACTACTCATTCTTTGGTAATTTATTAATATGGTATAACTTATATTATAGCTCAAGGCCTGATTTAAAAGAACTTTATGAATCCAACTTTGTTTGGATCTTTGGTTTAAGATCAGGGACACGTCACATGGTCTTATGAGTTCAGAGGTGCAAGTCTGTTTTAGTTGGTAGCACGTAGATCATAGTACCACAATAGTATATTAACATCAGTATATCATGTGCATGTAAGACACTGAGTATATATAATTTCTTGTCATTATTGTAAAAATTTGGATTATTGTGATGTATTTAAGCTGAAATAAATGTGAACTGAATCCCTGAGAGTCTGCTGTGTTCTTTTAACTTTTTATCCCAACGCAGAGTTTAGACAAATTCTAAAGTTAGAATTAGAAAATGGAGCACAGAAAACAAAAGATAATAAGCACAAAGTCATGACACACTGTTCATAGTACAAAAGTAATACTCTGGAAACAAAAAACAAGTAACTCCACAAACAAAATCCTAACTACAGCATTAGCAACAATAAATGTTTCAGATACTAGAATGTAAGCAGGATCAAACTAAGAAAAAATACAATTAAAACAAAAAGAAAAACAACTCAACAACCTCTCGTTGGGTAGTCAAACCACTGGTGACAGACAGAGCACAGGAACATACCTCCATAAGCAACAAATCATCAAAGACCGACACAAAAGCTGAAATACTTTCTTAAATCCTACTTCTGCTACTTAATTATATTTGTGTATTTGTATCCCAATAACTACAATAAAAAAGTGTGCTTTATCCTGCTTGAGTAGCACGGCTCAAAGGTCATACATTCAAAATTCACAACTGACTTGTAGCAACAGCAACTGCAGTGGGAGAAAAAAATATATCATTTCCTTTTCACAGAATCTCACACTGCTTAATATTTCTTACACTTAGTGCAACTTACATTTGTGCACAGGTGCTTTTACATTACACTTATATTTTACACTTCACTTACATTTACACATTTTACAGTGTAAAAGTAAACAAAATGTAAAATGCAAGTTACAGTTAAATTTTACAGTTACACTAACATTTTACAGTGTAAATGTAAGCGAAGTGTAAAATATAACTTATATTTACATTTTACAGTAACACTTGCATTATAGGTTACACTTGCATTTTGCCCTTTGCTTTTTCACAAATGTTGTGCTATACCCTGTGTGTTGTATTAAGTGACAATTGCACTTCTTTGTCTTGTGCTTAAACATGTTGTACAGAAAGTCACAACCTTCTGCCGTTGGGCATTATACTAAGCATATCTGAATTTGTAGTCAGATGAATGAAAAGGGGCTCAAATGCAGGAGTCCTGAACAAAAGTTAAAGAGTTTATTTACAATGCAGCTTACTTAGAATGAGAAAATATGCAGATAAGATAGGGTTTTGGTACCAAAAAATACTCCTTTTCTCATTTTCTGTACACTAATAGTTTCTGAACAGCACAGTTAGGTACGGTGACATTCTGTCAGTTCAAATGTGGATCGTTTTTCTGCCAGTTTATATTTTCTTTAAGTGTGGACCTAAAAAACATCTGTAGTCTGAACTGTGACTGAATGAAATGAGCAGCAGTTTGTCGTTGAGTGGAGCACACATGGGAGCAGACACTGACCCACAGTAACATTTTTATTGACCACTAGGTGTCGCTGTAGCCCTAAAATTCACATAGAACTTATTGACCGTAAGCGCAGAATGAAGCAGTGATTGTAGCTTTCTGTTGTCTCCACTAAAAGCGGCTGATGACTGAAACATTCGGCAGGTGGCGTGATTTAACAGATAAACCCACGTGAAGGATAAAAGTCCCGGAAACACTGGCTCTGCTCTGCCTGTACATCTCTGAGTGTGTGGGTGAGGTGGGGAACAGACTGAGGCATGAACACTGTCCACTTTGCTGTCACTGCTTCAAGGCGGAAAGCATTTGGAGACAATCGAGCTCCTGTCAAAATAAAAATATTGCTCACCGATCCCAAACAGGATGTTGCACATCTGTGACAGCAAAAGGTTAAAGATTTTTATTTTTATTTTTATTTTTTTAATTTATTGCAGCTTTGACTAAACCTGATGTGTGTTTTGGTTTCGGTTACAGCTGACCATCACCTGACTGCCACACTAACAACAGTCTCCAGTATAACAGACTGAGAAGTGCACAATTAAGCAGCAGCTGTGATAAATGTGGACAAAAGCACTGAAGGGGCTTTTGAAGTAGACAAGGCAGTATCCTCATGAGACCCTGAACTGGGATGCACAGATCGCATCCTGACTGTCTGGCATAAAAGTCCAGACTGGCATCTGTGAAAAGAAAACTGTTGTATAATAATGCTGTGGAGGGACAAAGCACAAATATGCAGTATATAGACAGCTCTCCCTTTTTAGCCATGCTTTGATTTGAATGCCACCGTCTCTGTGATGCTTCAGCACAAGACTTGTTACAGACATTCAAATCTTTCCCAGAGGAACAATGATGCCGGTTTTGCTGATTTCCTCATCTTTTATCAGGTTGTATCACAAGAACCAGTCGCAGGTTTTTTTTCCAAGATTTTGGCTGCAGCTCAAATATGTTCCGAAATTTCTGATTTTTCCACTGCGAGAGTGAGAATCGTCATGTCCTCCTTTTTTTCCAGGCGCCTGATTGACACAGGCCAGGACATCATCCCAGGCTGCTCTGTTTGTGCAGATGATTACTCCTTATTTTGTGTTTCAGCTCATGTGTTGGACTGGATGGATTCTGGGCGATCTGTAAACTATTTGCTGACTGAATTTTCTCGGCAGGTCAAAACAAACCTCAGGTCACCAAGAAATAAACTAGTGCTCCCTGTGGCCTCTCCAGCCCTGCCTGGGACAGAAATCTGCTCCCCACCAGTGCCACTCAGATCTCCATAACAACACTTTACACTAAATTTACAGTTTACAGTGATATTTAAAGCAACGGCATATACACCACTTATATAAATATTTCCCAGGTCTATTAAATCGCTTACATCCCAGCACAGTAGTCTTACACTAGCAGACATATTTATCTATAGAAGAGGTACACGTAGATTTATCCTTGTTGACAAGTTTAAAAAAATTTAAATGATTTAAAAAAACACTTAATGGAAAGCTCTCTATCTTCCCAAATAAACAGCAGGAAGTAAGCTTGAAAAAGATGATTTTTTTCCACATCAGCCCCTCTGATGGTGACAGGGGTAGGAGGAGGAGCCTGCTTCCTAAAGTCCATAATCAGTTCCTTTGTCTTTGTGATGTTAAGTTGTAGGTGGTTTAGCTCACACCACTCGACAAAGCTGTCTACCACACTCCTGTACTCCTCCTCTTGTCCATCCCTGATAAAGCCCACAATGGTAGAGTCATCTGAGAATTTCTGCAGATGACATGACTGAGACTTGTACCTGAAGTCAGATGTGTAGAGAGTGAAGAGGAAGGGTGATAGGACCGTCCCCTGCGGCGCCCCCGTGCTGCTCAGGATGTTATCTGAGCGGCAGTTCTTTAGTCAGACATGCTGTGGTCGACTTGTTAAATAGTCCGTAATCCAACCAACCAGTGGGGCGTCCACCTGCATTTCCATGAGCTTATTCCCCAGCAGTGATGGTCTGATTGTGTTAAAAGCACTGGAGAAGTCAAAGAACATGACCCTCACAGCGCTCCCAACAATGTCCAGATGAGAATAAGCCTGGTCCAGCAGGTAGATGATGGCCTCCTCCACACCGATACGAGGTTGATAAGCAAACTGCAGGGGGTCCAGCCAAGGCTCCACCAGCAGACGCAGATGTTTCAGGACGAGTCTCTCCAGCGTCTTCATGACATGTGAGGTCAGAGCCACTGGCCTGTAGTCACTGAGGGTCGGCGGGTTGATCTTTTTAGGGACAGGAACCACGCAGGATGTCTTCCAGAGTGATGGGACTCTCCGCATTTCCAGGCTCATGTTGAAGATGCGTTGTAGAACTCCAGACAGCTGGGAAGCACAGCACCTGAGGGCCCTGGGACTGACACCATCAGGGCCAGCAGCTTTGCTAGAGTGGAGTCTGCCCAATTTTTTTTTTTGATGTCATCTGCTGAGAGGGACAGGGTGAGACAGTCTGAGGGGGCAGGAGAGGGGAGAAGAGCTGGGTGTGGAAACAGGAGACGCAGGGCAGTCAAACCTATTGAAGTGCAGATTAAGGTTGTTAGCACTTTCCACGTCCCCATCCATCCCAACACCTCTCTTTTGTCTCAGGCCAGTGATAGCCCGCATTCCATTCCACACCTCCCTAGTGTTGTTTTCCTGCAGTTTGTTTTCCAGCCTCCGTCTGTAGGACTCTTTACCCTCTGCAATCTTGGCTTTCAGCTCCTTCTTTCAACAGGAAAGAAGCAACAACATTTAGAGCATTCACATTCATCCATCCTGTCAATGACCCGTACTACCACATCCCACTTCTCGGGTGAACACAGACACTCTCACAGTGAACTCATTGTCCTGATCATGGAACCAGTTTT